CAAATACACTTTCCTGTTGAAAGCACTCTTTTATTAGATATTATTTTTCCTTCTCTATTAATAAAACATGAAATTTGTTAAGTATATTAATTACAATCATTTAGTGAAATACATGTAACACCGTCAGTTGTACAATCATTTTTTGTTGAATAACATTAATAATGAGTTTGGAATGCTATTTATTTACAAGATTCATATTGATTACAATGTTTTATCCCGTTTTCAATAATTTCAATACATTCCCCATCTATTCCTATTTTACATCCTCCATTAGTATTAGTATCTTTACAGAATGTGATTGGAACGCATTACATACCATCTGTTGTACAGTTTTCAGAGATTTGTTGACATTCCTCTATTATTGCATCAGTATACAATAACCTTTTTTGGAAAAATGGCAGAGATTAAGACTGTTGTAATCTTAACAAGTAGCCATAATATCAGTACATTGTTCTAAATCAATTTATGAAGTGCAATCGATATCAAAATCTTAACAATCAGTTAAGGTTGTTTTAGGGGCCGCTTGAGATTAACAAAGCTTTCTTTTACAATTACCAGTGAATATATAGAAAAAACATGCTTCTCTAAATTAAGGACATGTGATTTCATCTCCAGACATGAAATTGCAAGGGTAATTTTTTATAACACAGTAATCTTTATAAGAAATACATAATCCTTCATTGAGAGAGAAATAGCAATCATCTTTATTAATGTATTAATTACACTCATTTTTAATGGGGATGCATTAATTTTTCATTTTGTTAATTGAACATTAACCAATACTTTGACATTTATCAAGAGTAGAATAAGAATAATCAGTACAAGTTTTTAGAATGCATCCATTATTTGTTAAATTGACTTTGCATTCAAAGAGAATAGATTCACAATTAGAAGTAGAATAAGTAGTAAGAAATTTGATATCATCACAAACATTAATGGTTTTACATTAATTATTATACCAAATACAATTAATTTTAGTAGATGAGATAGTTTTGAAACAAGATTCTTTTTTTAGATATTATTCACAAGTATCAAATTTTTCAACACATCCTCCAATATTAGGATGAACAGTGCAATCACTCTGAAATGTTCTACATTACTCATCAGTTGCATATTCATAAGAATCTGCCGCATTAGCACATGAATATGATGAGCAAGTTCTAGAAACAGAATTCCATTTGCAAAATTAATGTCTTAAATTTAAAATACATTAAGAGGAGTTAACATAATCTTCACATTCTTTTAATTATATACAACCATTTCCAGTTTCATTGACAGTACATGTATTCTTAAGTTCATAGCATTATTAATGGTTATATCCAATATAATCAGTACATCCTAAAATATCAGCATTAATGCATTAAGCTCCATTCCAAACACAAGTACCTTCTTATGCTGCATCTTTTATACAATTAGATTATGTTAAAGCTTCACATGTACTTTTATTTTAACAATTATTATTATCATTATTTACAATGCAACATTAGGTAACATCTTAAGAACATTCTATATATGAATTGCATTCTGACATATTTATTTAATCTAATTCGAATTGAGCTGTTTAACATGATCTTGATTGACATTAATCTAATCCCCATACACAATCATCATCTTCATCATCAAAATGACAATTCTCTATTCGTTTTCTATCTTTACATAATTTTGGTAAATCCATACAACCTACTGTATTACTAATTACACATCCTTTAAGATATTATCCACATAATTCATTACTATTATAATTAATATCTGCTGTATAACATTATTTATCTACACATATATTTTTTTGACTATCCCATCCACATTCTCCACCTACTCGAAAATAACAGTTATTTTTCTTACTATTACTTCGACACGTTGGGGGAAGTAATGTGCATCCATTACCTTCATCATTCAAAGTGCATTTACTCAAATATTTATTACATTCTATTGCACTTGTGAATTTTCCTAAAGTACATTCTTTACTTGAACATTTCTCTTAATATAAACATTTATTTCCTTCTAAATCCTCCACGCATATTTATTAATCTCTTATATTTTCACATGTCATATCGATGCATCCTAAATTTGTATCTGGATTTATTGTACAATCCACACTATAATTTTAACATTCATCATGAGATTAAAGTGTTTTAGGTGCATTTTCACATGTTTTATTTACACATATTTCTTAATCATTCCAAAAACATTCATTTCCATCCGAATCTATTAAGCATGCCTCCTCAATATTGTAATCTTAACATTTACTTAATTTCCTACATCCTCCTCCTTTCTTAGTAACGCATCCTTACAAAAACCTTGAACAATCTTCATTACTTATTAAACTATTCTCAGCTAAGTCACATTAAGCTATTTAACATATATTGTTTCTCCAAACACATTTATTATTATTTATATCTTTTTCACAAGCATCCTCTATTTTTGCTGAATTACACTCTTAATTATCCACACAACCTTACCCATTCGTAATACAATTTTTAATAAATTATTCACATTCTATATTTGTCTTATAAGTTGAAGGAGCATTTTTACAAATTTTGTCCAAACATTTTGTATCATCCCAATAACATGTCTCTCCTTTCTTATTATTTTTACATGCTTCCTTTATTGAAATAGCTTCACAAGTAGTTCTTTCTACACATCCTCCGTCTTATTTTGTTGTACATGTCTTTAGATAATTTTTACATTCCTCATCTGTTTTAAGTGTATTAAGAGCATTCTAACAAATTTTATCTACACAACTAGTTCCATTCCAAAAACATTGCTATGTTTAATCATGATTCCAAAAACATTAATTCTAGAATAATTGATCAGAACATTTCAAACCACTTTCTACACATCCTTCCCCAAATTAAGCTACTGTACATGTATTTAACTCATCTCGACATTATGAATCAGTTTTTAATGATTTTGGAAACTACTCACAAGTAAAAGCAATTAAGCATTTCGAACTTTAAGAATCCCAATAACAAAAGTCACCATTTTCATCATATTAACAAGACTTTTATGTCAAGTATTCATCACATAATCCTATCTCTACACATTATATCCCATTTGATATACATCTCCTAGATATATATTAACATTCTTCATCTGTTTCTTTCAAAAATGCACTACAACCTGTAAAGTGCCAACATAGATCATTAATTAAGGCACAATTAATATTTTCAGAACATTAGCTACTCTAAATTTAATTACAATATGTTGGATCATTGTCTTTCTCACTTGTTCCTGGATCAATTACAGTTTCATTTTTTTAGCAACCTGTCGAATTCCAATAACTTTGACCCTCATAGTAACGTTCACAATCTTACTATGAGGTAATATTCTCTCTAAAACATTTATAATTCTGAAATTCACTCCAAACAACAGGTACTAATAGAAAATCAATCATAAGCAAAAACATCATAAATTAATGTGAACTAATAAAAATAATCTACAATCTCTAAACATCTTATAGATTATATCAATTATTCACAACTATTCTTAATTTTCCTTATAGAGAAATCCCCTCAACTTTTACCATTCTTTAGCTTCTAATAAATGTTCTTGAAGAATTTTATATTAAGATAAAAAAGGAGTTATCATTATTCTATTTAATTTGAATCATAAAACTAAGGATTTGAAGAAATATAACAAAATATTTCAAAAAAGTCTAATTAATGAATAGAAGGTAAATAATTATACAATTTTTTAGTAATTTCAAATATATATCAATTAATAGAGGAGTTATTTAGATAATACATAAGTTTGTGTTAATATGATTCTTTAATTACAAAGAGATGTATAAGTTTTTTTTGAAGAAAATTATTATTTATTTATTTAAAATATAAAAACGTATAAATGCAAGTTATTTTGGCTATGTGTTTTGTTTTCTTAGCTTTTGGGTAGCAATTGAAAGGAAATGGAAAACATCATAAGCATAAGAGCAAAGAGATAGGATTTGTGTAGGTTTCAGCAGATTTAAATGATTAACGTATCATTTTAGAAGGGATTATACAATAGGTGAATCAATTAGCTCTTTTAGTATAAAGATAAAATGTATTTGATGATAGTTTGAGATAAAGACCATTTGATTTGATGGGTTAATTGGATGATCTTGATAAATTGGAATTATACCCAGAAGAATCTAAAATAATTGGAAGTCTAAAATAACAATTAAATATAATATCAAATGCGATGGATGTAGATGATTACATTTAAGAATGTGATGATGAAGATGTTTGTTAAATTTGTTAAGCCTCGATGTATTATTAATTGGATGATGATAATTGGTATATGATTGGATTTGAGCATGGATTTAAGTAATTATGCATTGAAATGAAGAAAGGAGTTCCAATTCCTATTAGATTCTGCAAAATAAGCACTAGGGTCTGATGGAGATCTTTTGTTGGCCTTCTCAAATGAAAATCATATTTGTTTACAATTTGTCAATCTAAAACATGCAATAGACATTAATGGTGTGCTAAAACTTTATTTGGGAACCACTCTAAATGATTACTAGAATAAATTGATTCATTTACCAACTTATGGGATACCCTTAGAGTTTCTAGTTAGAGCAGAATATACAAATAGAAGTTTCATTTACAAAGAACTCAAATTTATTGTGAATGATAATTCTTAAAGGGATATTCTAGGTGGTCGATTAAATAAATTGCAATTCTCTATTTTAGATTAAAATGTTTATATTTTAGAATATCATGTAAGGTATTCATCGAATATGATGGCCAATTTTACATTCAATCCTAAATCTTTCCATTTCAATTGAGAACTATTTAAGGAAATACTTAATCAGAATAAGTAACCCTACATTTATTATAAAAATTTATAGATTAACATTAAATATTCTAAGAATATAGCTGAGTAGTATTTGTCAAATTCAATTTTAAAAGAAACTTTCAAATTTAGCTAGATGCAAGCTTCCACTTATACAAATAGTACTGATATTATAATATCTGTTGAATTAGATTGATTTTTATTTTTAATTCTAATAATAATTTATTGCATGAAAAAGATATAAAATAATAATCAGCCAATCAACAGACCACTCTATCAATAAGGATACAAAGTTTAAGATCAAGTTGTTCCATAAGGAATAGCCTTTTTTTAAGCATCTGGTAAAAGGCATTATCCAGATTTTTAAAGGGGAGAATTAGAGTCTTACTAAGGAATGCAACATGTTTTTGATCCTCCAAAAAGGTAAGATGTTTAATAGATTTAATTTAGATTAGCTTAAGATTATGATAGATCATTAAATACAAAGGACATTGATGGAGCAGTTACAAATACACTTCGTAGTAAAGTTGTAAAAAACATGGAATTAGCATAAGCTTATAAATAAGAAAAGCAAAAATCATTATGGGAATATGGTAGTAAACCAAGTGATTTAGATTCTTAAGCTTATTAGCCTAGAAAGAAATGGGATGATGATGATCCATATAAAAATAGAAGTGCAATATACACAAATAATGATGATTCTAAAAGAAAATTAGATGATTTAAGTGATAAATAACTTCAAAGCATTTAATATCCTGGATCTACTAATTTTTAACCTAATCAACAATTTACTGAATCTCAACATTAAAAATAATTATATTCATAATCATATGATGATCCAAATTTTATTGCTAAATAAATGTTAAATCAACAATAAATCATGCAACTACAAAATTCATAATCATAACCAAATCTAGTGGGTTAACCTCAAATTACTTAACCTTCAAATTTATCTGATTAAAAATATGAATAACCTTCTCTTTATTAATACTAGATAGAGGATGATAGATAAAAGTAATCATAATTATTAATGCAAAAATAATGGGAATAATAAAGAATTGAAAATCTTCAAAAATTATAATAATAATAAAATGATAAAATTAGAGAGCAATAAAACCTTAAAATATAATAGGATTAAGACTACTAAATTATTTAAGAGTAAAGATAATAATCATTAAATTAAAAATAACAGTATGCAAGAGATTTGAGATAATAATAAGAAGGTAACAAAGAAGGAACCTATAGAAAAGGATTTACACCTCCACCTGCATCAAAAAGTGAAATTATAGGAACTCTCTTATAGAATCCAAAAATGTAAAAATCTTAAGGTTTTGATGGAGATGGCAATAATTTAAATGTTAGAGATTCTTTATCAAAACAAATTGAAGAAAATGAAAAAAGAATGATCATTAATCGTTTTAGGCCACATGAATTGTAATAATACATCTATGATATGAAAAATGGAAGAATTGGTGGCAGCAAAACTAGAAACAATCCAACTTTTATGTCTTATGCAGGACAGTAATTAGTCAATCAATAACAATGATAAAATTACATTTTTTATTTAATTCAAAAAAATAATTTTAAACTACCTAAGCAAATTTATTTCTTAAATCTTCAATTTGAACTTATTGTTGTTAATCCCATCAAAGCACTACTATTATAGAGCAATTATAAAAATCAAAATTTGGTATATTCTATTCACTTTGTCTAGAGAATATTAAAATAATAAATAAAATTAATCTACAGATATTTACAAAATTTGATTTAAGATATAATATAATTGCTTTAGGATAAAAATAAAAAATAATAGATATTGTAACATTTGTTTATTTTTTAGAATATTTAAACTTATCAAATTTCATATTCTTCCCATGAGTTTTCTTCTTCAAGAATTTCCTCTACTGGTCTTGGATCTTCATAAAACAATTCTTCCCATGTCATTGCATATCTATATTTATCTAAATATTTCATTCTTACTATACCTTTAAGAGCATCTTATAATAATTTCTTTCTGCTTCTTTCAAGAGTTGGTTTGTACCAAACACCATAACCCCAATTCCTAACAAACTTACAAATGAAAACAACCTCTTATTAACTTCCGCTTAAGAAATTAATTCTGCCTCTGTAAATTGTCTTTATTTATAATATGCCCATTTGCCGAAAAAGTAATATCTGCCTCCGTAGAATGCTGTAAATGCAAAAGCCCCCAAAACAACAAACTTTATCATAGAAATGTTAAACATACAGGTCTGATTCTTCTTAACCACCAGGCATTGGTTTCCCAGACAAAGTTTGTCCATTGATAAACCATTATATATTAAATTTAATATTATCATTAGTTTGTCAATAAATTATTAAATGATTAAAGAATTTATTTTAATAATCAATAATCTATATTCATAAACAAACCAGAATTTTACATCTAAGTTAGCAATTATAAAGACCATCAAGTATTTTTATCTACTAAACTATTAAAAAATTAAATATTGAATAAAATTACAATTATTATGGGATTTACTTAATTTTCAATCTTTTATGTAATTATTATATTTTATACTTAAGCTAGTGTTCAAAATTATATTTCATATAACATTAGGGTGAGTAATTAAATTGAAGTAATTTACACAATTCAACTTACAAATGAATAATTTCATGAGTATTTTGAATATGCTTATTTGGAGGATCTTTTCTACATAAGACTAATTATAAAGTAATTTATTACAAAAAAATTTAGAATCCCAATCTAAAATTTCGTATATAAAAAAATCAATTAAAATTTAAAATACACTTTTTTTCTAAAGTATTTTATAACAAAAATTAGAACATTAATAAATAATGCTCAATTTTTTCCTTTAATATATGAAATTTTAATCTAATGAGTAAATTATTATCTACAGAAATTAAAGAGAAGAAGCAATTTATAAATAGAAAGAAAAAATTGTTACTTTTTACTCAATAAATTTATTCAGTATTTCTCTTCTTCTATTTTATAAAAAATTATTTGAAATAATATAATATCAAAATATAATGTTGATTGGAAAACAGCATCTTTTACTTAGTGACATCTGCCTACTTGCATATTTGGTCTTTATAAATAAAGGTTTAAATCTTAGTAATTATTAGCGAGTTCAATTATTTCTATATCTTTAATAACTGTACTTTATGCTGCCAGCATTATTTTTTAGGTTTTATGTGTCTTACTTAAAAATGAACAGAAAAATTAAATTTTTTAGGGAATATGTTTTTCAATGAAAATAATATCCATCTGGTTTGCATATTAAGCAAAATAAGAATACATACTTTGCTCATTAATATAAACTCAAATATTATTTAATAATATAGACTTAAAATAGAAGCACTAATAACCAATCTTAATCTTAGCATAGATGGTTATGTTTATATTCAATTTTGAATAAATTATACTTGATTATGAGTAGATGTTTATAAATCTAATTTAATTAGTGATATTTAGTTTATGGTTATATAGAGAAAAAAGTTTAAAATAAAAAGAGGATTTTAAAGGAGAGCAAAATATGAATGAATAGGAATGTAAAATTGATATTTAAGTTGATACATTGAAACAACATTAGAATCTCATTCATACTATTTCTACAAAAAGAATAAATTTACCATAAAATTCTTTATTATTTAATGATTAATATGAACTAATAGAAACTTAAATTAATTTTTCAGATTTGATAACTCATCCAAATTAATATAATTAAGCATTTGAAATACTTTTAAATTTGAATTTGAATTATATTGAAGACACAGTTTTAAAATAAAGTGAACTGAGAGTAATAGTATTAAATATGTAAATTGATGAATAACATTTGTTAATTATAGATAAGAATGAATATTTCAAATACGATAATCAGGCGATGTTATTAAATTGTATTTTAGTTGATGGAATAAAGTGTTTTTAAGTTCAATTTTTTACAATTCCATTAATAACAAACAATATATAAGAAATGGATTCTTCAATGGAGATAGATATGTGTAGATCATTATCCCATGAATTGGGTACAAATTTAAATAGTATAATAACATTTACTAAGATGGCATTAAAGGATGATAATGTAGATTCTCATTTTAAATGTAAATATTTGGAGCCAATAAGAATTAATAGTGAATAATTGAATCTGATAGTTGGGACGATAAGAGATTATAATTTGATAAACTTAAAGTAATTTAGTTTGAAATTGGAAGAAGTAGATATAGAATTAGAAATTAGATTTATTGTATCATTATTTAATGAGAGTATTGAAAATAAGAATATTAAGATAGAATATTGCTTTGATTTTTAATCAAGTATTTTGGTGAATGATAAAGTAAGATTTCGATAAGTTTTATTTTAATTAATGTAGAATGCTATAAAATACACTTTTGAATCGTCAATTACAATAACAATTTTGAATGACAATTTAGAATGTTTTATCTCAATTTCAGATAATGGGATTGGAATGGTATAATATAATACAATATAAATAGACAGAGTAAGAAGCAGAAAATATGAATTCATTATTATAATCGAATAAATTTGTAAGAGTATCTGAATAATCAGTTGGTGTAGGATTGGGACTTGGAATATCAAATCAATTAGTAAAATAGATGAGTGGTAAGAATAATTCCATTTAACTTAATCGAAAGAATCAAGGATGTTAGTTCAGTTTTTTTATAAAAAATCATTAATTAGAGATGTCAAAAGAATTTATGAGAAAGTAATCTTCAGGATTCGTTAAAAAGAGCAGTCAAACAATTCGGTTTATATCTGTAAATACATATATTGAAGATTAAGTAAAATAATAATCCTTTTAGAAAATACAGATATAAAAAAGTTTAATTTAAACAAATTCTAATTCTTAATAATAATTTATCATTTCATCTAATAAAAGAATAAATAATTGTTATTAAGAAAGTAGAAAATAAAGTGAGGAGGATAGTTTGTAATCAATTCATCCTCCAATCTTAAGTCCTAAGTTTTAATAATCTATTGTACAATGCAGTCTTAACAGTGACTGTTGTTCTAGAGTATTAATTGTTGATGATGAATACTTTAATATTTAATGTCTAAAATTATTGATGAACAAATATCAATCAAGATGTGATTCTGCTTACAATGGCAAAGAAGCATTATAACTAGTAAATCATAAGAAACATCATCCTTGTAAAATATGTGGAAATAGATACTATAGTTTGATTTTCTTAGACATCAATATGCCAATATTAGATGGGTATAAAACTGTTAAAGAATTAAAAAATTTAATGAAATAATAAATAATTAATAAAGCTTGGTGCATTGCAAATACAGGATTCTGCGATTTAGATACAAAATTAAAAAGCTATGAAGCAGGAATGGATTATTACTTAACAAAACCATTAGATTAAAATGAACTCAGAAGTATGCTAAATGTTTTATTTCCTTTTAATGATTACTGATTATAATATGTTATTAGCTATTAATTTTATAAATTATGAATGCATGTTAACTTGACACCACAGAAAAAATTGTTTAGTTTACGATTAGAATGATTGTCCTTTCCTTAGCATTGTTATCAACTTTATTTGTTGGAATCACTTGTTTAAAAAGTAATAAATATAAATATTGGGTATTCAAATTACTTTTTGTATAATCATTTGCTGAATCTATTGATTTAATTGGAGCAATCTCTCTATCATTTTAAAGCTAATGTTATGAAAACTTATGTAAAATAATTGGCTACATTATGCATTCATGTTGGCTTACGTCATTTACTTGCTTGTTACTTTTATTTTATTTATATTATTCTGCTCTTCATGTAAGTAATTATTATTATCAATTAGATTAATTCCAAATACTAAATTATAACTAATAACATAAACAAATTTATCATTGTTTCTATTATTTGGCCTTATTTATGGCTCTTATATCCATTATTAAGTAATTACATTGGTCCTACAGGATGGGATCTTTATTATTCAAAAGAAATATTCTATCTCTTTTGTGGATTTAAAGTATATTATTCTTAAAATTTTAGAAAAATAAAATTATTTTCCTCATCTTTTGGTCAATACCTTTATGGGTAATACTTTCCTTAGTTTTATTGTTAAGAATCAAAGTATCCTTTTATAAATTCAATAGATTAGATCTCGAATTAAAAATCTAATTTTTGAAGAATAAATAAGCACAGTTGAATTAGATATTATTAAAAAAGTAGCTAGTTTTTCATCTATTTATATATTCTTTTGGTTGACAAATTAGGTAGTGAAGTAAATTTATATTTACAATTTAGATATGTACAATTACTTTATTCGGGATATATTGAAAATATCGTTCTTTATATGATATATGTAATTATTTACTTACTTTTTGAAATCCATCTTGTCATAATTGCAATCCTTTTTTATAGAAATTATAAGTAAATATTGAATCTATGTCACTTAGTAAAGTTATCGATATATAAGCTATTTGGTCATTTAAGAAGTCTAAGAATTTGTAGAATTAGTATCTAGAGTAATTATTTTGATTTTTTTCATTATGTTAATAATTTAATGTTTAAATATAATATTGATGAATATTCAGCATACATGATATCACATGATCAAATTAGCTTAACATTTAGGGGATAAATGTAATATTATCAAAAATATTAGAACAAAGGATATTTATTAATTCAAATTTTTAGAATTTGACATTTTAGAGGAAATATTATTTTTAAAATAAGAAGAAACTGCAGTTTCATTACCTTGGGCTAAAACATTAATTATTAATTTTTGGAATGTTCCAAAAGAGAATTATACATTATTTAATTTATATGGAGGCATGAAAATCCTATTTGATATGGAAATTATCAAAGATCTTCAAGAAGTTCAATTTAAGTTCTTTTCAAATGAATAGATTTAAGCATTAATAAAATTAAAATGGATATAATCTGACAATACCAATTACTTTTATTTCGAAATACAAGAGGAAGTATGTATTTATTGTGAATAATTTTAGAATTAGTATGAATTAACTTTATAATGGAGAGATCTTATTTAAGATGCTGAATGTTCTAGTTAGGAATTAGAGAGACAATTATTAAGGAAGAACCTTCCAAAATTATTAAATAAAATAGGAGATTATAGGTAAAAGGAAATGTTGATTATTTGTTAGTAACATTTATGATTAATAGGAGTTATTTGAAATAATATTGGAAAATCAGTACGATAGTATTTATGTATATTTTCCATCAATAATAAAATTAAAAATTCATGCAAAAATATTTGAAGAGAGCGAAGAATAATTTAGATCAGTAGAATTGTTTATTCATAATTAATGGTTTAAAGAAAGATCAGATAATTTAATAGCTTAATTTGAAATACTACATAGTCAGATTTAAAGATCAATGAGTGATTATAATGATGAAATAATATTAGATTATGCATTGATTTATGATGAAGAGTAAATAAATTGTTCATAATTAATGAGTAAGATTAATTCATTGATAATAAAAATCTTATTAACAAATAATAGAAGAATCTAAACTATATTATTATCATTGATGCCATTGGAAATACATTTTGAATTAGATATTAAGAAATAAGAGTTAAATTTAGATATCAATTTACATCATGAAGATCCTTAAGACATATATTAGGAAGGATTAATTATTTTATTATAGACAATAACAACATGTAAATTGTTTTAATCTTTGAAAGTGGATATTCAATAAGAGGATGATTCAAATAATATAAAATTTTTACTTTTTTCTTTTGTAATGATGATTCATGAACTTTAATAAACTTTATAAAACAAAGGAACATTTACATATAATAATTATTCTTTGATTCCAAGATACAATTCAGTTTGTTCTAAAGGTGTGATGAATTATTTAATCTCAGAAAGAAAGTATAGATTAATAATAATATTTAAGATCTATTTATTAGATTTCTGAGAAAGATTATTTAGATATTTAGAGAGAGATGGGATGTTTTGTTTAATATATAAGTCATTATGCAAAGGAAAGTAATTCAATATTGATTTCGTGTGATTTATTTGAATTAAGTAATTCTAGTAAATAGTTTTATGATTAATTGACTTATTAATTAATAAAATAGATGGGATTATTAGAATTTGGGATATTGGATAGTGAGAATAGAGATTAGAAATATTATGAAAAAGTAATTGAATAATTATTATTACCATTGATAAAATATTTTAGATATAAGAAGAGAATATTAACAAGTTTATTGATAATAAATAAAATATATGTAGGTAGAATAAGATGGGAAAGTATAAAAGAAATAATAAATTATTTGCCAAATGAATATGAATGTTTAATAAAAAAATAAAATTGAATAAAATGAAAAAAAATTAAATCCTTTTAAATAAATTATTAAAAAAAAGAAATAATTCCTTATAAAATGCCATCAAAGAGAAGAAATAATGGTCGTTCAAAGAAAAATAGAGGTCATGTGAAGCCAGTGACATGCTCAAATTGTTGTAGATTAGTTGGAAAAGATAAAGCCATTAAAAGATTCACAGTTAGAGATATTGTTGATGCTTCATCAAAGAAAGACATTTTAGAAGCTTCAGCTTATGAAAACAAATAATAATAGTCAATTCCAAAATTATTTGATAAACTTTAAGTAGTGTTAATAATAAAAAGTTAGTATTGCGTTTCTTGTGCAATCCACGCACGTATTGTTAGAGTTAGATCAGCTGAAGACAGAAGAATTCGTGTTATTGAAAGAAAACGACCTGTTTAATAATCATCATAAAAAAAGGATGCCAACAAACCATAAGCTCCAGTTGCAGCTTAATGATATATCTAATACAAACATACATTATAATATTTGAATATATTATCAAGCATGCATCTTCAATCATTTTTAGGTATTCCTATAAATAATTTTAAAAAAAATTAATATCTTAAAAAAATGACTCATAGTTATGGATTGAAAAAAGGAACAAGAAGCAAGTTTGCTAAACCATTTAGAGGACATGGTAATATTAGTATACGTAAAACACTCTAAACTTTTAGAAGAGGTATATTATTTTACAATTTTATATAAAAGGTGATTTTGTTGACATTTTGGTTGATGGGGCATAACATAAAGGAGTACCATTTTAATATTATCATGGACGTACAGCCAGAGTTTTCAATGTTAATCCAAGAGGAATTGGTGTCTCATTATAAAGAAGAGTCAGAGGTAGATATGTAGAAAAAAGATTTCATGTCAGAGCTGATCATTTGAGACCATCTAAATGCAGAGAAGAATTTGTTAAAAGAGTTTAAGAAAATGATAAGAAAAAGACAGAAGCCAATAAAAAGAAATAACTTATATCAACTAAAAGACAACCCGTATTACCTAGAGGTGCTGAAGTTGTTAAACCAAATGCTACAGTCTTTTAAAATCCAAAAGCATTTGTAGAAATCATTTGAAATATAATTACAATAAGTATAATAAGATAATAATTTAATCCTAGACTTATTAGGTCTGTTTAATATTAATATTATTTTTAAATTTATGACTCATTTATATGATTTATAAGAATTTAAGGAAGCCTTTGCTCTTTTTGATAAGGATGGAGATGGAACTATTACTATAAAAGAATTAGGTATGGTCATGAGATCTTTGGGTTAAAATCCAAGTCAATAAGATCTAAAGGAAATGATAAAAGAAGTAGATTTTGATGGAAATGGAATGATTGATTTTAATGAATTTTTAGCTTTGATGGCCAATAAACTAAGAGATACTGATTTAGAAGAAGAATATATTACAGCATTTAAAATATTTGATCGAGATGGAGATGGATTATTATCAGCTCAAGAATTGAAACATGTCCTTATTAATATGGGCGAAAAATTATCTGATCAGGATGTTGAAGATATGATTCATGAAGTTGATAGTGATGGAGATGGTTAAATTACTCTTGAAGAATTTATTAAATTATTAAATTGGAAATGAAATTAAGCAACTTTCTTAGTTTTACTCTATTTATCAATTAAATGTTCTCTTTTATATTCTAGCATTAAATTATTATTATATTATAAAAATTAATATCAAAAATATATATACATTATTAAATCAAAGGAATTATTACTTTATTTTGATTTTTAAGTTATTGATTTGATGATATTAATCTAAATCATTGTATGAACAAAATTTAATGAGAATTTAACTTAATAAATAAACAACTTAAAAAAAGAATAATCTATCTTAATTTTTACAGAAACTCTCAGATTATAAAATTGCTAAACAAAGTCAATCAAAAGATTCAAGATTGCATGGAAGAAATGAATATTATAAGAAAAAACTTAAATTCTTATTTAATCTAATCCTGAATTTTAAGTTCATCTGAACAAGTATATGTCTTAATTTGTTCATGTAATCTTTTTTAATCATTTTATCCATTTTGACTTAATAATATTTTATATTTCTGAGATTTATCAAAAAATAGAACTCTCATAATAATCGAATAATATCTATTGTATAATTGAATTTACAATCTAATTTATTGATTAAATAGCAATTAACAAAGACCTTCATAATGAATTTTTAATCATTTATTTCAGCTACTTCTTGGTTATTTGTAATTAATTCAATTTAATCATAATACTTGGATATTGAACTTAATAAGTTTATAAAGCACTTTCTTTGACTAGAAACTCTCTGATTTTATAAGGAGTAGAGATAGTTGAAAGAGTATCCTCTTTTATTAACTTTAAATTCAAAGTAATAGGATTGATGGAAAATATTTTAAATTTTCATTTATAATGTGTTTATATATATTTTAATATATAGTTTATTTAAAATTCGAATAATAACATATAACAAATAAATGTAGCACCTGTCTCGGCCCCAATTATAATTACAAGAGATAGTGTAATAAAATAATTTAAAAACGTACGTATAAACATGTAAATAATTAGGTGCACTAATAAAAATAATAAACTTAGTTAATCTTTTAATCCAGGAGGATTGATTGGTCAAAGTTTAAGTCCAACTCATAAAGGAAATTAGAGTACAGGTTTATAAGGAATAGATGTGAAAGTATTAAAAAAATAAGGATTACCAGTACAGGTTAAACAATACTAACAAGAATTATTAAAGTTAATGATAAGTCATAAATAACTACCAACTTAGAAATCAGCTTAGAAAGTGAATACATCTGATACATAAAATAATTTGAAAAGTATTATAACAACAGATACTCGAAGAACAAATTCAAATTAATATTAAAATTCTAATGCATAAACAACTAAAAATTAGGGATTTATTAATTTAGCTAATTAGATAATTATAATAGTTCATTATGAAAATTAATAAATTAAATTTCCTATAGATCCATCTAAAACAACAGGTTGGTTGGATGAATATTTGAAATAAGAATTAAAAAAGCATTCAATTCATTAATCTTCATCAACAGGATCTTAACCAGATCATGTTAAAATAACTTGTGGAACAGGTAATGAATCTACAGATTCTGAGATTGTTTCATTTTATACTATTGATAAGAATCTACCTATTGATTATTATCTTTAATAATCTACTAAGTCTCTCGATATTTTCAGTGGTTAAACTCTAAATTTATAACCATTTTATGGAACTCCTTAAACTTAAAGAATTTCTTTGAAAGATTTTATATTTGTTAAATGTATAGGTGTAGGGGGATTCTCTAGAGTTTACATGGTAAAAAAGAAATCAAATGGAAGATTTTATGCAATGAAATTAATTGATAAAGAATTTATTTTACAAAATAAAAAATAAGGTAAATAAAATAATAAATTTAGGAATTGTACAAAATGAAAGAGATATTATGACTGTATTAGATCATCCATTTATAATAAAATTAGATTATGCATTTGAATCTAAGAATTTTATAATATTTGTACTTGAATTTTGTAGTGGTGGTGAATTATTTTGGTAATTAAGATAAGTGAAAAGAATGACTGAAATATAAGCAAGATTTTATTTTAGTGAAATTTGTTTAGCGATGTTTTATTTACATTCATTATCAATTGTTTATAGAGATATTAAACCTGAAAATATTCTTATAGATATTGATGGACATATTAGAATAGCAGATTTTGGATTATCTAAACCTAATATGACAGAAGAAGATTATGCTTATAGTTTTTGTGGATCTCCAGAATACATGGCTCCAGAAATGTTATTAAAAATAGGTCATAATGTCTAAGTAGACCATTATTGTTTAGGAGCATTACTTTATGAATTAGTTACTGGTTTACCTCCATATTATTCTAGAGATACTGAAGAAATCTATGAATCTATTCTTAATGAAGAACTTACCTTTCCAGATAAATTAAATTTATCAAATGAAATTAAAGATTTACTCTAAGGATTATTAAGTAAATAACCATCTAAAAGACTTTGTGCTAATAAAGGTTTACTTGAATTATTCACTCATCCATGGTTTAAAGATTGTGATCTAGTATCCATTCTATTAAAAAAAGTTTAACCTCCTTTTAAACCCAATTAATTATAATTTAATTATGATTCTAATGACTTAATGAATGGAGAATTAGAAACTAGAGAAAAATTATTAGGAAAAACAGGATTATAATAAGAAATCAAAATTTTTAAAGATTTCTATTTTGATTAATCTGAACAAAAATAAATGAAAATTGAATAATCTAAAGTACTTAAATAGCATTGTATTATGATAACATCACTGTAAATGCAATTATTATAGAAATTTAAAACCACTAGAAAAAGTACAGAACCAAAAGATTCTAGTAATTCAAAACCTTAATCCCCTTATACTGGTTCTAGATAAATTAATTAAAAATTAAAAATTCAATCTGAGTAAATGTCATCATTATAAAAAAGAATTAAATCATAGTAATCATTATTATTTATTCTAGGTAATCATCTTTAGGTAATGTTTAACCTATCCAATCCAATTCCATTGTAAGCCCATAATAATCAAAAATGGAAAGTCTTAAAAGAATTATTTCACAAAATAATTTCTTTATGGATCGCTAAAATACATTACCTAATAATAATCAATAACTTACTTAAACTAAAGACAGTATTGATTCCCAAATAATTTATTAAAATAGTCAAAATATGCATAAAAGAGTATTCTCATTAAAACAAAGAAAAAAATGATCATATATTTTAATCAAATTACTCATAAGTATTTATACCATTTTAATAATTCTTATCCTTTTTTTTAAAAAAAAATATTATTTAAAGAATGAAAAAAATAGACTATCAAGTTAATAGATCAAAAAATATAGAATAAAACATTCATGCTTTTATTATTTGAGATACTATAATATATGATAATAAAGCATTCAAACACTTTTTATCAAATAAAATATTGATATTCATTTTTCTATAAATATTCAAATATAAAGTTTTATAATAAATAATTTCTTTGTTGTAAATTATTTGATTCAAATAATTGTTGTATTTTAAAGATATATACTCTTTTTGATTTATAAAAAGTTTATATCTAATAATTAACTAAGTTATTGTCAAACCTTTTTATTTAAAAAAATTAGGTTTAACAATCATTAATTATGTTGTTCATTAATAATTTTCACAATTACATATTTTTTAAAAGTTCAATAACCAATTCATCTTTAGTTTTCTTGTTTTTAAGTAATAATTAAAAATTAATAAAATATTTTATGAATTATATATTGTATATAGATGTAATTTTAATTATCTAAAAACTCAAATAAATATAAGCTTATTCTGATTATAGTTCTTTAATCATTATAATATTCATTTTAGTCAATTAATAAATTAATTATTTTTTTTTTTTAAAGAATAGCGAATGATCACTAAAGAGGCAAGAGTGTACTAAGTGTGAGATAATAGCCTTATTATAATATAAAATAGAATCGTTTTGATATATTTTAATACACATCTAATATCAAATACACAATTAATATATTTAAAAGATATTAATTAATTAATAGAAAATCAGGTTTTTATAAGCGATGATATGCTAGAAAAAATCATTTATTTTTTATTTATATATTATCTAAAATGGATCAAAGTAGTGATATTGATTTGAAAGAGATCAATGATGTTATTGCTAAAAAATGTACAGAGAGAGAAAAATAAATCCAAACATAAGTCGAAGAACATTTATTAAAGTACAAGAATGAATGTGAGGAATTGATAAAAAAGATATAGGCTGAACATAAAAGGATAGTTGATGAACATAATGCAGGTCTTGATTAAAATAAGAAGAAATTGGATGAAAAGGTAAAAGAAGTTAAGAAATTTGTTAATGATGAAAAAGTTAAAATAAACGAATTGATAAAAAAAAAAATGGATTCATTAGTTGGAGAATATGATAAGATTGATAAGGAAACTGAAAAGAAATTAAAAGATGTTGATGATTAATATAAATAATTATAATCAGACCTAAAAGCAGAAAAAGATAAACAGAAATCAGAATTAGATAAAATTAAAAAAGAGGAAGAAGAAAAATAAAAAAAAATTACTAAAGAATTAGAAGAAGAAAAAAAAAAATTTGAATAAGCTAATAAACAATTAGAAGTGGAAAAAAATAATTAAAAATAATTGAATGAAAACTTAAACAATTAAAAGAAAGAATATGAGAATTTGACAAAATAATTATAAACTATTCGAGAAGATTTAAAAAAAGCTCTATAGGAATCAGATAACCAAAAAAATTCAAACAAGAGTCTGATCTAAGAAAAGGCATAATTATAATCTACTATTGAGTAATAAAAGATTGAAGTGAATAGATAAAAAACAGAATTAGACAAAAAAATCAAAGATTATGAATCTTAAAAGAATCAATTTGATAATTTATAGAAACAATTAGATTAATAAATATAAGATTATTAATTTTAGAAGGCTTAATTTGATAAAGTAAATCAAGATTATTTCAAAAAAAAGAAGGAATTAGATTAATTAAATGATAAAATTGAAAAAGGGTAGATAGCATTTTAAACTTAATTAACGAATATGTAACTTGAAGAATAGAGAAAAATACATTAATAACATAATGAAATTGTTAAAACACAAGAAAAAAAATATGAGGAAGAATTAAATTCTTTATAAATGTAATCATAAACTATTATTCAAAAACTTATGGATGAAAAAAATGATTTAAGTAAGTAAATAACAGAATATGCAATTAAAGAATTGTAAAGGGAATAATAATTATAAGCAGTATCTCTGAAAGAAGCTATGTAAACTTTTGAAGAAATGAAAAAAAATTATTCAAATGATTAAAACTGGGCTTTGATTGAACAATATATTAAATCATTTGAAATGAAAACTTAAGAATTGGAAGACGCAAAATAGGATTTGATTCAAAAAACCTAAATTCAAGCACAAACTTAAGAATCATTAGACAAAAAATAAAATGATCTAGAGAAAAAATAAGCAGGTTTTATGAAAATCAAAGACAAATATGAAGATTGTTAAAAACAGTTAAAAGCATGTTAAGAATAAATTTAAAAATAATTAAAAGAGATTGAAGCTAGTAGTTAGGTTGAGGATAAAATAAGGTAAACATAGTCAAAGTATTAATTTTAATTAACATAATTGAAAGATAAATTAGATAAGCAAGAAGTGCAATTAAAAAAATAAAAAGATTAATTTGAAACTATTACTAAAAAGTATGAAGAAGAATTGAACAAGAGCCAAAAATTATAAGAGGAAATCGAACAAGAAAAAAAGAGGAGAAATGATGATATTGAAAAAAGCAAGAAACTTATTGAAGAAAAAAATTAGGAAATTGAAAAGTATTAAAATATTTTAATATTAATAGACTACAATCATTAGCCTAATCAAAATTATTAGAAAACAGCAATCAAATAGCTGAGAAAGAGATGGAAAGTATATAGGCTTCAAGTATACATATTTGTATTTATAATTTAGCTGATATTAAATTAAAGATAAAAAGTATCAAAGATGCCTTGAAAAATTATTAAGAATCAATGTCTGAAAGTATGTTGTTGAAATGTAATATTAATATGTAAATAATTAGAATAGTTATTGTCTAAGATAAATTCCGTAGAAGTGTAAGCCCAGTTATATCAAATTCAAATAGCAGCCTGAAATATTAAATAGATATAAATATTTATAATATTAAATTAAAATTAAATATAATAGAAACAATAATAATATATTTAATATATCTAGCACTCACAATTAATTAAATAACTTGAAAAGTGTTGGATTTTGCATAAGAGATGTAAATATTTTAGGTTGCAACAGAAATTATTATTCTGTATTACTTTCTATGATTATACCATTAGGTGGGAAATCAAAATAAATAGAAATAACATAATCTCCAGTTATATTAGGTTACTAAAAATAATGACAAATAATTACATGTGCAGATGGGATGAGAACATAGGTAGCATTTTAAACAGAGAATATTTCCATATCAATATCTCTTCTAGAAGAAAGAAGTTTTGAATCAAGAACTTTCTTTGAAGAATCATATTTAGTTAGTTCAGTTTCATGTTGTTGTAATTAAAATAGACACATGATAATTTTAACAAGTTTAGTTTCATAAGGATATTTAGCTAAACGATCTAATCTTCCATCTCTTTAAGAGAGAGTGATATAAATTCTTTTATTAGGAAATGGATGATTAATTCGAATAGTATATTTAGGATTTCTATAAGGATAAAGAGCTTGAGATCTTTCATTTAAAGTAGGTGTACCTATATGTTCTTTATTAAAACTATCATAGATTCTCATAACAGACCATTTATCATCTAAATTGACACTATAGAAAAGAGTATTAAAAATATTGTAAAAACTTTTAAAATTCATAATGAAAATTCCATCTTCTCCTTAAGTATATTAATCAGGAGGTTCAACTCCTTATTAATTACATCTTTATATTTCATTATCAAAGTATGATTTAATAGAATCTAAATTTTCACTCATTTAAATACTATAATCTGACCATTTAAGTTTCCATTCTCCAAAACCCCATGGATTTCTTAGCATAATTAATTTATGTATTCTTGATTGATCATCTTTTAATTAAAAATAATGCAAAATACTATAAGCATGTCCTTTATATAATCCAGTTTCTTCTCCATTTAATAATACTTAACCTGTTCCATGTGCAGAACATCCCATTAAAGAGTTAGATTATTTTGCAATTTAAAATATCTTTAATAATTATTCTTTTCGTTCTTAAATAGTTTTATCATTATCATAATCATTATAATTATTATCAATAATATATCTTGTACAAGGAATACCTGTAAAATCAAATAATGCTTAAGATATATCACCTGATGTAAGTGCTTCATAACAAGAATGTAATTTAGCATATGCTTTTTCAATTATTTATACCCACCATTCTCTTTCACTTCTACATTCTGCAAATAACAATTTATTATTATAAGTACAAAATCTATCATCTATTATTACATAAATATCTCTAAACATTTTATTAAATTTAATAACTATAATTCCATATTTCTTAAAAAAATGAAATAATTTTGGATATAATCCTTTACTTATATCATTTTCATCTACCAAATACTTATCATTACTTGCTATTATTGTTAATGCTGATATTAACCAGCAATCTCCTAAATAATGTGATTAGATTACATCATTGGCATTTGCACCATTTTCATCCATAAAAACCCAATCACTACATATTTCAGAGATCCTTTACCAACAAATATCTTTTGCGTCTGGCCAACCTTATATTGGTAAATTCTCAACTCTGTAAATTGCATTTGAACCATATGGATCTGTTTAACTAGATCCAAATTCAGGATCTTCCCAATATTTTTATTTGTTCAATTTTATATTTTATACTATTTATAGACAAATTATTAAACAAGATATTTCATTCGTTAAAATATATTGAAACTTTTCAAATCTATCTTTATCACTAAAAGAAGTTTTGTATTTTTTTAATTCAAATAATAATTATTCATCAACATCTAAATTTGCTATCTCAATTTATGTAGAATCGAAATCTTCAAACATCAAAGTTGATTATGTTTTTGTTTTTTATCTTAATAATAAATTATATTCTTTTAATGATTCGTTTGTATATGTAATTATTTCTTATGCTGATACAATACCAGAATTATCAAGATCTAAAGCTTAAAATAATTTTTCAGATATTTCGTAATTAGGAGTATTAAATAAATCATTAGCTATTAAATTAAATTATTCAAATGTTAATTGTGTTTCTGCATAAATTTATTCTTATTTCAAATATCTCTCAATTGAAATATTCATTGCTTGTAATTTTCTTGCCAAAACAGTGAATAAAATTTCAAATGAATCTCCATAACTCATAGTCATGTAATAAAAACTCATAATTTCATCATAATCTATTGAACCTTTCTCTTAATGATCCATTAATTTAAATAATGCTAAGGTTTCTTTTTAATCCAAATATTTTTTGGTTACATTATAAAAAACTTCAATTGTAACTCCAAGTTCAGGCTATTGAATAGAGAGCATTAATTCTAAAACAAAACTGCTTAATTTAACTCCCTTTATTAAAAGCACTTTTCTCAAAATATTTATTTTCTATTCTTATATTTAACCAACTTTAGGAATTGCAGGTAATTTATCGAATGCTTATAAATATTCTTCTCTTGAAATTTATTCATTCTCTGATATGTCCATATATTAATATGCAGAATAAATTTCTCTTAAAGTTAAATACTATTACCAATTATTTAAACTTTATGTAAATGCAACAAACATTTCCCTTGTTATATAACCCAATTTATTTGGATCCATCTTTATAAATCCTATTATTCCATCATATTGTTCTTTTTTTAAAAAATAAATAAATTTTGAATAAGAATTCCTATTATAATTACTACCATATTCTTCATTAATTTAATACATTTCTAAAGTCTAATAATATTCATCTTTAGTAATTGAACCTGAATCTTCAACATCAAAAACCTTAAGCAACTCTTATACATAATTATCATGTAGCTTAGCCATTGTTTTAAAAATATCTCCCAATCGTTTAGTTGTTACTATTTCCATTGATTTTGTATCAGCTGCCCTGAAAAACATCTCAGGTGTCAATCCTAATTTCTTTGCTGCTTTCTTTAATTATTTAATTGCTGTAAATCTGTCAGAGTAAACATAAACCTTTTATGATGATACTTTCTTTAAATCTATATTTTCTTATTGCAATTACTTAACCTTTTTTTTTAAAGTAATTACTATTTTTTTATAATCATCAATACTTTTCATAATAAATTATAAGTTTTTATTAGAATTCACTAATTATTTTAAAATAAATCTCAATATTTATATTATATAAATAAATTGCTACACATCAAATCATTAATAATATATATACTTTGAAAATTCTTTAATTTTATGATATTATTAATTTAAATTGTTTAACTACAATAGTATCTCTCCTTTATTCATATTCTTAATTAATCTCATATAAGTATTATTTAAATTAAGCAATCTAAAATCAGAAATTCTAAATTTTTATTTTAAAATAGCTTAAGATCTATTCAATTTGTAAATTTAATCCTAAAATCTCTATTATTTCATAAGATTTTATGTATTTTATAACTTTCAAATGTATATTATATAATGCAATCTTTAAGGATTTTGCATTTACTTAAATTGCCTATTCTTTAATATATTATATATACAATTATCATTTTTTTTCATATATGTATTTTAAATAAAGATATTGATCCAAGCCACCTATTTTTTAGAATCTCTAATCATAATTATAAATTTTATTACAAACTCTTCTAAAAATAATTTTATTTTAAATTTCAATTTAACTGCTCAGATCTTCCTTTTCTATCATAATTTTAAATAACATGAAAATTGTCTTAATTTTTAAAACAAAAATATGTTCTTTAAAAGGGGAAAAAATTTAATTTAATAAAATTATAAAACAAATATTGCATTTTTTTAGAGGAATTCTGTATAAACTAATAATTTGGCTTTAATAATCAATTTCAAGCAACTCTCTTACACAAAACATCTAATATTCAAATTCAATTTTAGAGTTTTTTTTTATTTAATTATTTACAATAGTGATAAAATGGAAAATTTCTCTATTTATATTAAATTCTTCAAAGAACTGATAACTATCATTATTATTTTAATAAAATCATGTTAATTTTTATAGTTCATGTTAATTTAATGGTTGTTTATCCAAATTGCATTATTGCTCCTTTTTTTTACTATTAATATTAAAATTAATTTTTACGTCAAGGCTCTTATGGCTGCCAAAACCGTTATTCCAATAACGATTGCAATTAAACCATAATGATGATTATTAGCTTTAGGATCTAGAGAGAAATTTTCTAAATACAATTCTCCTTTGTAAGAATCTGATATCTCTCTTGTTAAAGCTCCTTCAGGTATTGATTTCGAATATTTTTGCAATTAAGTTATTTAAGTTAAAGATATTTACAAAGGTTATGGAATTATATAGACAACATTGTCACAATTTTCATATTCTAGATAATACATTAGATTTTCTAATTATTCTGCCAAATCCATCAATCTTATTTAAAAGTTATTTTATATTTCCAAAAGTGGATTATATTTGATTTATTTATCCGATTCTATTGGAATAACAAATTTAGCCTTCTTTGGAGTGAATTCTGGTTCTACTTCTTCCATATTCAACTATATTTCACATTTTATACTATTCTTTTTTTATAATTAATGAATAGCAGGGCAATAAATTTCGAAATAAGAAGGCTCAAAAATTATCTCAGATGGTACTTACTAAATTATTATTTTTGATTTATCTTTCACTTGATACCCATTTCCATAACCAATGATATATCCTCCTTCTACTGTTATTTAGATTGTTTTCACAGCCTAATCATTATGATTGTTAAATTTACTTCAGCTAATTCAACTTATTTTGGAAATGTTAAAAATTAATTAGAAATACAATCCGCTTTTATTTTCTAAATTATTAGTAGCAACGTTAAAATCATTTTTATTAAGATGTATCAGTATATAATAAATTAAATAATATTTATTTACTAAAAATTTAATCAAATATTCATCTTAAAATATATTAGAGTTTATTATTTATAAAATTATCTAATTCTCATAAATAAAGTAAGTTTACATTGTTTCATGTTCTTTTTCTTATTAATTATAGGTTGTTATCACTTTGATTATTCAAAACCTTAATAAACAATTTGACTTGATGAAAGACATATTATTTATTTTCATAATATAACAAAAAAAAAGTATAGTTAGAATTTGCATGGTTACTTATTAATGAGTAATTGTAATTTTAATCAAAATTTAAAACAATAATAAGTTTAAAACTAAATTTCGATTATTATATTAAAACATTTGTGAAGCTTCTTTATATTGAAGTATGTTTTTTTGAATGTTTAATCTTTAAATATTTGCTAGCAACTTTAAATTTTATTCTTAAAAATATATAAATTTATTAATTTTTATATCTTAATGATTCTTAAAATATTTTATAACTTTTAATCAGATATTTATTTTTTAATTCAAAATAAATTAGCATATAATTATCTTATTCAAGATATTGAATGATTTTAAAATTTACTTCAAAATTTCTCACAACAAAAATCTATATTTTCATAAAGATTAATACTGTTATTTAATATTTAATTAAATGAATTTTTTTCTAAAAATTAGAGCTTTTTAAATTAATTCAAACTTTATTATAAAGATGATTAGTTTAGTTTATAATTTATAAATACTAAACTTGAAGGTTGAATAAACTCATATATTAAGTTATAATAAAAATATAGAATAATAAATAGATGATGAATTTTAAATACATAGAATTATTGTATATATTATATATTTCAATTTATGAATTAGAAAAATAATGCACCAAAAACTAAAACTATGATTATTGCCAACAGCAACCATATTTTTTACTTGTTTTATTCAAACTAACTCAATACATCTTCCAACTTATTTTTTGATTTTTTTTACTTCCTTTAAATAACTATTGAGCGATTTTCATAATTTAAACTTTGCTTTATCTATCTTATCTCCGAAAAATTCGATTTAAGTTCAGTTGAAATATTTTCAAAAAAACTAAAATTATTGTTGTCTTCTTAACTTTTAGTTAATTATTATTGGTTTGAAATAATTAAATTAAGCAAAGCTTACAATTTACAAATTTACTCAAATTATATTAAGACATTATCATGTTTTAATTCTTCTAAATTTTTAAGATTAAAATAATTTATGTTTTATATAATTTCAATCCCTAAGTCTTTTAGATGTGATATTTTTTCTTCTTACAATTTTTATAAAGCATCTTCTAAATCTTCGAACAATTTTTTCAGTTGTTAAATTTTATTAAAAAATAATTGTTATCTTTATTAAATATCTTATCCACCAAGTGGTTAAAATTATTTAAGAGAATTTAACTCATTCATAATTTTTTCATGCTAGTATTTTGTTTCCAAATCAATCAACTAAATCTAATTTCTTTAATATTCTTATTATGCATTATCAATCATTTTTTTATTAATTAAACTGTTTTACTCTAGGATTGAATAATTTTATTTTTGTAATTAATTAATTTAATCTTCTTATGTTTACTTTAATTTTTTCAGCGATGTTTCAAATTCATCTTTTTGTTTTCTATTCTAAGTTTATTCTTATTCATATTTATCTTCTAATTCCTTTATTTTTTTAATGTAATCATTTAAATTATTTTCTTAATTCTCCAATTTTTTTTAAACATCTTACAATTTCGATTTGTATTTTGTTTAAACAGCACTTTATTTTTCTTTTTCTTCATCTTTTTCTTATATAGATTTCAAACATTATTTCAATTTTTCTTTACATTCTTCTAAGGATTCTTTGGCTTATCTAATTTCATTTTCCTTTTTTTTATTTTATTCATTGAATTTTTCTTCTAAGGATTCTTTGACTTTTTTAATTCCATTTGCCTTTTTCTAATTTTATTCATCAAATTTTTCTTATTATAAATCTTATACTTCTTTCATTTATTTGATTTTAGATTCATATCCCATTAAACATTCTTAAAGTTTCTTAAGATTATCTTATTCTTCTTTGGACATTTGATTATAATCATCATCTGCATAAATTATAATTTCTTCAGACTTGAAATTAACTTTTGAAAATTCAAATTCTCTAATTTTTTTATTAGCTTTTTCATTTTCATCAATATATCTTTAAATAAGTTATTCTGAATAATCTTTAAATCTTTCAAAGTCTTATTCCATTCTTTTTTGTTATTCTTAAAGTTATTGTTGATTGTTTTTCATAATTTCTTTTTACTCACTGTAAAATTTGTTTTCTAATTCAATAATTTTTTAAGTATGACTTTGATTCTATTCTAAGATTTTTTTTTCATAGAGATTTTTTAATTATTGAATATTTTATTCTGAAGCAACTAATCCAGAATTTGTAAATTTTGATTATAAATCTTCATATTTATATTGTAGTATTTTACAATTTTGAAAAAGTCTTGAATAACTATTCATTCTTTATTTAGCTTTTACATCTATTTCTTTAAATTCAACAAAGATAAAATTAGAATTAAATTTATCAACCTTAGCAAGATTGATAATTTGTAAATATTCTCCTATATTTTCCTCTCGTCCCATTAAATCCTTTTAAATAAAACATAATTGTCTATTTTTTTAATCTCTGTTTAAATCTACTAACTCTTACCCAATTATATTCTTATTATTGCGAGTCCTTTCTAATTTAATCAAATTATGATTTCCTTAATCTCTAACATTTGTATTATAACCCTCTAAAAACATTTGATCATCACCAAAAGTAAATTTATATTTACACCATTATTTATTCCATTCATCTACATTTAAAGGATCATCTTAACTAAATTCAAAACCTCTAAAACCCTATTCCATTTCTTTTTCAATTAAATATTGATATTCATATCTAATTTTGGTTTAAACCTAAACACTAATAGAATATGTGAAAATTTAATCCTGTTATGCCTCCAATTCCATATTGTATTATTAGACTTCTTCTGTATCACTAGGTACATCCTTTCTTTTTAGATTGAAGTATATTTATTTAGGTTATTCTAATTGGCATTTTAATTTAAACACAACTTATTTAAAGGTTATGGTCTCTGCTCTTTATCTCATACGAGTTAATTAATTATTTTTAATAATTCAAAAGATTTTTGATCTTTGAAACATTATTTAAATTCTATTAAATGGAAATCAAATAAGTATTTGTATTTATTTATATTAGTGTAAATAAAAAATTAAATTAAGAAAAATGGGAAACTCTTAGAATGGAAAAGAAGATATGGATTATGATAAGATGATAAAAAATTTTAGTTATATCTAAGATATAAATCATTTCCAATTAGGAAATATTAAGATATATGATGCAATAGAAAATAAGAATCATAAAATATTTTAATACAAGCGATTATGTTAATCAGATTAATAATTGCAACAATTAAGAAATCATTTTATAGAGAGAAAGAAATTAATAAATGAGCATCTAATAAGAGTGTTTTATGTAATGGGTAAAGAATCAGTTATGTGTTCAGATACAAGTCATGTAGTAATATTAGGGGAATATTTTGGAAATAGTTTATAATAAGAACATGAATATAAGTAAATAAAAGTGAATTGATTTAAATAGTTTAAATTAGAAGATGATATTTAATGAATCTAGATTATGGTTGATAATATATTAGATAATTTAATGTTGTGCATATCTAGAAGAATAAGGAAAATATCATGGAGATTTGAAAATAGATCATGTATATTTAGATTTAGATGGATCAATTAAGTTGATAGTAATTAAATAAATATAAACATTAAGGAACATAACTTAATTCCCGGATCATTGAATCCTTATTAGAAAGCATTATATAATAATGAGTTTCATGCATTTTCACCAGAAATGTTGAATTTATTATAATAATCAGAAGATAAGGAAAAGTAGTATAGTAAATTAGATATACTAACATTAAATAAATCAGATGTATTTAGTTTTGGAATGATGATTCTAGAATTAGCATCATAATTTGGTATTTAATAAAATTAATATGAATTCAGAGACTAAGTAATATTATGATTGGGAAGCTAAAACAATGAATTACTAACAAATAATAAGTTCGATTTAATTTTTAACTAATAGAGGATATTCTACAATATTTTAGAATTTATTGTTATAGATGTGCTTATAAGATATTGGAGAGAGACCTGGATTTTAAGAGATGAGAATAGGACTACAAAGTTTGGAGAATGACATATTATCACATACAGCCTTTTATAGAAGTCATATTAAATGATAATTATAATTATATTATGAATTAAGTTGAACCTTTTGGAATTAAAGTAATACCTATAAAATGGGTTTTAAAATTCGACCCACCTATAATTGGACTTGTATATAAACAACATTAGAAAGAGAAGAAAAAACATCTTTATCAAATATCATTGAACAATTTGATTTTTCTAACAAATCCAGAAGATATTGTGAATTAAATAATCTATGAACATCCTGTTTATTTAAATAGGAAGTTTATTAAATATGAGCAAGTATTCGGATTAATTGTTATAAACTTAGTTGATTGGATTAGTACGTAAATTGTTGGATTACAAAAGTAGGAAACTTTAAGAAATGGTTGAATTTATGGAAGATCAATTAGTTGAATATGATGATGCTGATTCAGAACAAGAAGAAAAATATGCATCCAATCAGAACTACTCTTTTTGATTTTTTAATTAATATAATTAGTATTAATGTAATATATGTTAACTAATACAAATATATAATCAATCAAAACATACTACAACATTGAGTCTTCTCTATACTCTTTACTTTTATATATCTAAATTCTCTCTATTTCTATATTATCATATATCTCTGTCTATTCTTTATCAAATTCTACAAATCTCTTTCACTACCACTACTTTGAGTTCTTATTTTCTTCTAAACTCGACTCTCCTCTATCTCATTACTAAAACTCACATTAGGCTTTCTTGGACTTGCACAATTTCTTAGACAAGATTTATTCATTAAATTTCAAATTACTGGAATATAATATTTATATGAATGTAAACTCATTTGATTGGAACATCTTTATAATCAATAAATTCTCTCTCTATTTTATCTTTAGTCACATTAAGTAATCTTATTATTCCACCTGATGATCCATCTCTATACATCGCATGACCTACTGCATGTAAAACAAATGCTCTCGCTTCTTAAAGACTCATGTTTTCCTTAACAATTATTTTATTCAATATACTTTGTAATTCGAATCACAAAATCCCCATATAAATGTACTCCCTGATCCACCTATACTCCATTTCTATTCTATCACTGATCCTCCCAAAGGTAATGTGAATATTTAAGCACCTTTATAAGGATCCCATCCAGCCACGATTATTGCAGCTGATAATGAACTTAATATTATTCAATTACAATGTACTCTTTATATTCATAGAGAAAGTTTCTAAATAGATTTGCTGCTGTAGCTACTGCTGGTAATCTACCTAATTCTTAAGCATGAGCATCAACATAATATCTAACATATTTTGCTATTGTTTATGTGTCTGCAGCTGATCCACTTCTTAAACAAAATATTCTATCATGAACATAATCAATTTTATCAGCACATCTATCTGCAACAAATTGACTTCGAATAATAAATCAATTATTACCCAGAAGATGTACGACTATCAGCTCCAATAATTAATCCACCATCATAAATGACAGCCATAATAGTAGTACCAGTTGTTTCTGGTTCAAATTTTGGTGATAAAATGTCTGTATAATTCATTATTTTAAATATTTTTAAGATTAGTATTAGATGGAAGTTTATAATATGTATAGTATAAATACTATATAAATAATAATGAATTTCATAATGATAAACTAATCATTTAAGTAGATATAGGTTAAAATTTATATTAAGATAGAGGACTCAGATAATTTCTTAAACATATCCTAAAGATTAGAAATTATAATATTACTTTTAGGAAGGTTAATCATATTCACCAGTGAAAAAAGGATGAGCTAAGCAATCCTCAGCAGTGTACCTTAGTTTAGGATCTGAATTCAACATTGATAATAATAGATCTTTGGCTATTTAATCTTTAATGTGTGAACTGATCTTCATTTTACCAGACATATTTTCATCAAGAGTATTATATATACCCTTTCCAGTTAATAATTTATGAAATATAACACCAACACTAAAAATGTCACTTTTAGAAGTTATAGTTTAGTTCTTAAATACTTCGGGGGCAATATAACCTCCAGTTCCAGATCTAACATTCGTGGTATCACCTATTTAGGACAAACCAAAATCAATGATTTTAACGGTTCTGTTTTTAGTTAATAAGATATTATCATATTTTAAATCTTTATGGATTATATTCTATGAATGCAAATGATTAACTCCTATTATAATAATTAGATTTAATTACCTTCTAATAATTATTATAAGATTGGTCTGATAATATTTATGGGTACCTTTTTATTTGGATACTCATTTTACAAATCCCCTAGTGATTACTCATAATAATCCAATATCAAAAAGAGTTATATTTCATCTTTATAAAACTCTTCTGAATGAAGAAGATTAATATGAGGTTTTTGATTTAAAATTTGATTAACCTTTAATTCTAAATTAGACTAATGTTATAATAAATATATGATTTACATAATTGTCTTGAAGGATTTTCATGACTTTTAAATTTTCACCCCGTAACACTTGAAAAATCTGTTTTGTTTATTTAATATTGTTACCTGACAATGATCTGTCTTCTTGATCCATCTCTAGAATGTCAACTCTGTTTCCCAGTTGAAAAATCCAATTTTACCTTTAAGCACACTTCTCAGTTCAGTAACTTATGGTGCTTCACCTTAAAATGAATATAGTCTTTGACCATATTAACATAAAGTGAAACCCTTTAATAATTTATCTTGACATCTAATTCAATATCAATAATTCATACATATCATCATAATCCCATTCAACACAATAATTTGTCTTAATAAATTCGATGACTTTTTCACTTTGGCCTTTGAATCCTTCGATAATCATTTTCTCTGAGAATACTTTCACATTAACTTTTATTTAAGTCATTGTGATCTATAAGAATGAAGATTGAAATATTGGCAAAAACATAATATAGAGATATTTAATTAAATCTTTTTTTGATCAAAATAATAGGATTTTAAATATAAGAATTCTATAAATCATACCCAAATATATTTATTTTTTTTTATTTATCGCTTCTTGAACCAATTAATTGTATTCATTCGTCTCATCACTATTATTTTCATTATCTTGCTCCAATAAACCCAAATTCATAACTTTTTTATTTAATTAAAATGACAAAAAAACTTATTTTTTATTTTCGTTACATTCTATAAAATTTGAAATTAAGAACCTGAGTTCTAGAGAATCTATGTAGAAAATTAAATTAATCAATTCTTCTTCATTTTTTCCTTTTACAAATCCACATATATGAATAAATGCCAATCATTATTTACCAGGTGTCTAATTCAATTTTTTGAATACATCTAAGCAATATATTGTAAGAATTGACAAATTCATTTAAACATAATTAAAATTATATTCTTTAATACAAACTCTCTTGTATCCATCTTTAAATGTATAACTTTATTTTAAAATTTATTTTTGACGATATTTGTATCAAGTAATCATAAAAATTCTGGAAAACATTTAATTAATTAAATCCTTGCAATTCTTGATGAAAAAGGATAAATAAACAAAATAAATATAAAACTTATATATTTTTACCTTTTTATAATCCTTTATCAATTTAAAAATTTATCACTTTCTGAATACAAAAAAGTAGTCTTATAAGGCTTCTCAAATTTAAGAAATAGTTTTTATACCATCTTTATGTGTTAAAGAATGAGTTACTTTATATTTCCTACTCTCAATAATCTCACAAGATAACAGTATCATACAAAAAAGTTTGCAAATTTATATTTTTATCTAATAATACTTGACCAATCAAATATTTAAATGATAAATGTTCAAGGGGCATTGAAATGAGCAATTTTACTAAAAAAAGTATGATTTCAATACTTCATTGTATATTAAATCATCATATTCATAGATTGATTTTGGGAGTAATTTTATTAAATTTATTTTTGTGATGTAACTGAAAAAAAGACACTTTGAAAGTAGTATTGATGGATCAAATGTTTTTTACACTTGTAACCATTACTTCATTTAAAAATAAATTCTTAGAACTTCTTTGTGAAGTCATAAATATAATGAAAATGATTGTGTTTGGAAATAAATTTTAGATTTTTTGATAATAGCATTTTAATTTTTCTATATTACTTTTATTTATATAAATTTAATAGATATATAAAAATATTCAAAAAACAGTATCATCATTTCTTGGACTTTCAAATTAATCATAAGTATTATTGTTATAATAATTTTATTTATTTATGAAGGCTTTGTATATATTCTTATCTCTTATAAATATAAATAATGAGATGAATGCTGACAAAAAATAGATGATGTTTTTATGTTATGCATATGAATCATAGTAAGCATAAGAGTTCTTAAGGATGATGTAATGAATTAAAACAATTGCATCATAATTTAAATATTTGTGAGTTCTTGATATTTTTGAATCAATTTCTCGAAAAACATAAAATAGTATAGCAAATTGTAAAACAAAAATAATAGGTATGATTGCAGCAGCAATACAGAATATGACCAATTAATCAAAATATAAGAGGAGACTTAAAATGATATTAATGATGAAAATTCCTTCATTAGTTAATGATTAATATTGGAAAAAGGATAAGTAAATTATAGGGAATGAAATTAGGACAATGTATTTAGTCAAAGAGGAGGTAACCATTGCTATAAATGTTTGTAAGTTGATTACAATTAATATAACAAAGAGGAATACAATAGATTAAATAATTGCCATTCGCATAGTATATAGATGCTTTATTACAATAAAGTAATTAGTTTAAGGTAATTGCCTACACTTTAAACGTATGACTAATAAAGAGATTATTAGAATGGATAACAAGTATTTTAAAAAGTTTAAATTGAAGAACACTTAAGCTAATTCCAGATAACTTAATAAAAAGAAATGTATACTTTCCAATAGCATAACAAATGATCAAACCTTGAAATGCTTTTTCTCTAAATAGATTTAAGGTATGACAAATTATTAATAGATACAAACATTCATATGTAAATGTATATGTACATGATACAAATATTACATGCTTTGAATTATTTAAGTAATAGATGCTTGATATATTCAAAATTGAACATATGAAGATACACCATAACCTACCTTTCATCCATTAATTGATAAATACCTATTTTAGCAAACATTAATCCAAATATAATAGTCAACCACCATAAATTATTAGGTTGGAGTGAACTGTAAAACTGCATATCTATAGTTCTAATTCGAAGGTAGAGTGATGCAAATAACACAATAATGAAATCCAAGAAAATGTATTTTTTTCTTCTTCTTGTTATTGATTTTAACATAATATTTTTATATTTATTTATTAATTATGAATATTTATAATTTGAATATGTTATAAGAATTCCCTAAGGATTTGGTGATTTGTTTCTTGCTCTTGGATTAGTAGATGGTCTCTAGTTTTACGAAGATTTCCATCTGAAGGTAGTTATAGAAACATTTATTTCTGTTGAGGAGTTCTTTATTTTGTATTAACTTAAGAATGATATTCAACATTTGTTATTCTTAATCGTAATTAATTCTTCTTCTTTAAATTTTGATTTAATAACATAATAACCACTTCATTCAAATTATTTGATGGAAATTTCAATTCCTTATTAATTATATCTTAATGAGTTTTCCCGTTAAATGGAATATTTCCAAATAACATCTTATACAGTCTAATTCCCATTGACCATATATCTACTGATGTACTAATTCTTGTTACTTTGCCTGCAGATCTGATTAGTTGAACATTAATTCATCTAAATCTAATGAGTGAATAACAGATTCTACAATTTCAAATCTCTATAAACTAAATTTTTATGTGACAATATCATATTGCATATACTATCTATCTAAAATATATTCCAAACATTTTCTTCTGACAATCTTCCTCCTTTCTATCTTAATCTATTACTCAATTCACCAACTTCCCCATTTCTGTATTTTTTAATGCATATGAATTAAATACTTTCACTATATTCTTATGACTCAAAAAACGAAGAACTTGAATTTCTATGTCCTAAGCATTTCCTATCATTTTTATAATCTTTATTGCTACAAAATCATCTGTTATTCTATGTTTCATTAGTGTTACACATCCAAAACTACCTTCTCCTAATTATTTCATTATTTCATATTATGAGAACGGACGGAGAATAAGATCAAATTCATCTAATTTTCAATTCATTACTAATTACCCCTCTAAATCCATTCAATGATATTAACCATTCTTTAAAAACTTAATATCATCATCGAATATTTCCACACCTTATTATGTAAACAATCTCATCTCCTTAAATTTACCAAATCTCTAATCCACTTATATTTATATGTCTCTCCATCTTGTATTTTATTAGCAATCTTCAAATCTGTAAACTGTGAAGAATCTCCATTCAAATACATTCGAATCCCCTAAAACAAACAAAAAGGAAAATCATCATATTCTTCTTCATACATCATAACTTAATTTAATTTCTTTCAACAGATATTTTTATTTCAACATACCTCTCCTGATCATCACTTTTATTATTTCAATCCTTCTCTTCCATCTCTAAACTTGGTTCTTTACTTAAATTCACACTCTTACAACAACAAAAATATATTCAATATATATATCATCAATTTATACATATTATATTACATCTGTCTATAGCTTCAAAATTATAAATATATTTCTTGAAAACTATCTTTAAAATTTTTGAAGGTTAAGTACCCAATCATTTTAACCAATATTTTAAAAATAATTCTAAATTAATTTTAAGTCATCATAACTGAGATAATTTATTCCATAAATTTATTCTAATTATACAAGAATTTATAAACTTTTGAATATTGAATTCTTAGCAATAAACAACTTCGTAATTTCGATTAAGGCTTCATAATTCAATCTAGAATATCAAAATTGATATTAAATTTATAATACATTATTTAAAACGAAAATAATCTCTTTTAAGGCCACACCAAAATTTTAACTTTTTTAATTTTATTAGAATTTCATTTTTTTTTGAAGGAACTCATATTGATAAATGAAAATTTAAATTTAATATTAAAACTAATAGATTAATTAAACTTAACCTTAATACAAATAATTCAATAAGTAGTTAAAATATAAAAATTTTCCAAAATTAAAGTATTGAATATTATTTTTATAATATCTTTATGTTTGATAATTAAATTAAACTCAAAAATATAAGCAAAATAATTTGATTTAATAACTGGTATGCATTGTATAAAAATTTAATTTATTTATCATAAATAGATAAAATGCAAAGAGATAATCGAGTATTAAAATATCACAAATTCGATTACTATTCCAGATTTACTATTTCATGAATAGGATTTTAAAATCTGAATAGAGATCTTAGATTTTTTTTAAATAAGTAAATTAATAGAGTGATTTAAAAGTTTTTATTATATTAAAAGAATTTAAATTAAATAATTTAATCAATAGATTAATATAATACAATAATGAAATCTTAATTATTAATGCTTAAGATGAAATTCTAATAAATATGATATTGAAAATAGAAGGAAAAAATGACATACTTCTTCTAATATCTGTTATTATATTGGAAAAATCTACATAATAACAATATTTGTAAAGAATTAAGAAATGGCAAATAGCAAGATTTTATTTATTTAATAGATGGTAGTCATCTTTATTATTTCAATAATGATAATAAAAATTGCTTAAGAAGAGAAATACACAAAAAGTAAAATATGTAATGTCAAATTTTTATACCTTTATTTAAATATTAAAATACTATAAATTAAGATTTATTGTTAGAAATATGTGTTAATTGTAAATTGGAGGGTTTTGATTTAACAAAATAAAATATAAAAAAAAAGCAGAATGTAAAATTAGTAGTTTAATAAAACAATCAAAGTTAAATAAATAAAATGATAATAATAATAAATTGCTTGAGAAATAAAACAATCAATTATAATAGATGATGATGATAAGTTGTGATTTTAAATTCTTATTATAATTGATCATTCAAATTTGTTTCTTAATTTCATTTTATTAAATTTCTTTCTACAAGAATTTATTGTAAATTAAATTAATAACATTTTAGATTCTAAAATAGATTTCTCTAAATTCAAAATAATTTCCTGATATTCTTTTGATATTCAACTTAATAATTTCATTCTGATAGTCCATGATTTCAATAGAGAATCTTAAGTTTTAGGCCTCTTTGTTTTCCTACAATATTTCCTCATTTTATTAAACTTAATCTTCTTCCTAATCTTCTTCTTAATCTTCTTCTTAATTTTCTTCATTAATGAGTTCGAAGTTAATCTAAAATGTAAATAAGTATAAACTTTATATCTAGTATCATAAATCTTGTTAACTGAGGCATTGAATTTTCTACAATATTTCAACAAATAACAAAAGACAAAATTGGGATTTTAATAGAGTAATATTTCATTTGGCAATCCTATGTTTGAACAAAATGTTAATTGTCTTTTATCAAAATTTAAATTATATTTTTTAATGACTTATGCAAAATCTTCTTCATTTTCATCATCAATGCTTCTGCGTAAACCTAAACAAATTTCTCTTAATAAATAATAAAAATACTCTTGCTACTTTATTAATTTTACATCCTTGATGCATTTTTCTAAGTTTACATTATATTAAGTTTTTATTAGAATTCATTTTTAACTTATTAAAATGTGGCTGTTTTTCCCATTGTCCATGGATGTGTAAGACATTATTCTAAATTAAATCTATCATTTGGATTTGGAGCTAACATTCCATTTATAAGATGTCTATAAAAATATTAATTAATATAATAATACCTAAAATCTTAAGGAAACATTTCAGGAGTTATACCTTTACACCTCAAATGTTCCTTCCAAAATTATTCTTACTAATTTTAGAGATACCATTTATAAAAGCGATCCCCTTCTTAAGCTAGTGTAAATGGTGGAGATCGAACATTTAGAATAAATAAAATTACACCTGCCGCAAATATATCTACTTTAGTTCCATTATATCCATTTCCTTAAGTTATTTCTGGTGCTTAATAACCTATATAATATTATATAAAATTATACTAAGAGTTCCAATGTTAGTTCTTAAATTTGCTGCAGACATACCTTTAGCAAATCCAAAATCAGCCACTTTTAAGTTAAATTCACCATCCAATAAGATGTTCTCCAATTTTAAATCTCTATGACATACATCTTAGTTTTTCAGGTAAATCATAGCATCCAATAATTATTTAAAATAAAATCTAGAGACTTCTGGGGATAATCTACCAAATTAATACACATATTCAAAAAATTCTCCACCTTTTGCCCATTCCAATATTTCCCCTACACGTGGCTTAGTTTTTCCATTTTTTTTCTATTTAATAAATATCTATTTGTACTCTATATTGAAAATTTTCGCTGAATTTTATCAATTTTATTATATTAGGATGATCCAGTTTTTGATGAAATTTTACCTCATTTGCAAGTGCTCTGATATTTTAAGCTGTACCAAACTCCTCCTTGAAAAGCTTTATTGCAACATATTCACCATTTTTCTCGCCTAATTTAACTCTAAATTTTCAAAATAGACAGTACTTCCCAAACTTTCCAATTCCTAATGTTTCAAGTAGATTGTATTCATCACATTTACTATATTTATGTTCAATTTCCATTTTTAATTATATCATTTTTAATATATAATAATTTAAACAAAATTTAATTCTTATGTATTAATATAATATGAATGCTTTTTAGTTGGTATAACCAATTTTTTTGTTTTTACATTATTATCATAATATAATTAATATCTTTTATATATCTAGTGCTATATTTAGATTCAAACATTACTAAGATAGTTTAATAAAATAATATCAAATACTCATACACAATTTTATTTAGATTACTTTAAAAAGAAAAAATTAGAAGAATTATAAATAAAAAAATAATAAAATTAGAAATAAATTTCTGTAATTAATTATTTTATTATATATTTATATTTTTTGTTCAAAAGTATAATTTCTATATAAAAATATTTATACATATTGACATATAGTCTACATTCAAACCAAAAAATAAAATTATGTTTCATGTTGTCAAAGGAGGTTAACTATTTTATTAAGTTTTTAATGTTATCGCTTCCATTTCTTATTCTTATGATCTTGATGAGGATTTTTCTAAGACAGATAGATATAAAGGAATGGATTACTTTAATAGCATTTTAAGTAGTATATAAATTGCTATTAGTAAAATTAATACTAAAATTACTGAAAAGTATAACATGCTGTTATTATAAGAATTTCCAATTTCACTCAAATTCTTCTTATCCCTTTCTAAAATTATTTTATATCTTACAATAATAAATGGATTTTGCAATACCAATTTAGAATGTAGAAACATCAAAATGAGTATAATATTTTTAGAAAAATACAGTACCCAATACTAATACATCTGTTTTATCAATCTATTGGAAATTTAAGTAACACTTATACTATAAAAAGTAATTGTAATTACAATAATCAATATAATCTTAAGGTAATAGTGTTAAACTAAGATTAGTATCAATATTAATATTTATTTCAGGAAATGATTAATCATCATAAGAACAAACAATCTGATTTATTTAATTCTAAATTTCTTTTTAGCAATTTAGATTGTAATTTTCATTGAAAATGTCAATAAGTTTATTAAATTTATTCTTCTAAATCAAGAATTTGGATATCCCACTATCAAATACAATCATTTAGTTTTATGATTCCAATTCTTATTTTTTATTTTTCCCAATAATTTCTACAGATAAGCCTTTCACAGTCCATGATTCTGATTCAATAACTTTTACATATTATAATTCATTGATATAGTAATTTTTTTTAGGTTTTCCAAAACTTAAAATAGATGTTGATTAACAATTTTATTCATTTAGTAAAAGTCCAAATTACATTGTATCAATTGCATTTGAAAAATAAAGTTTCTTCAATAAATTATCTTCTTTTTATAATTGTTTTTTGTTAAATCCAATAACACCATCAGCAATCATCGAATAAAAATATTCAACATTATAGGCATCAATTATTGGTAATACCAAAGATTGATTCATTAAAGCAAATGTTTGGTAATATTAAATTCCATTTATTTTACCTTACATATTATCGATTGATTTATTCTATATTGGTGTACAATTCTAACATTCATAATATACTTTTCTATTTGTATTCTTTCCGAATATCCACATTTCTTCATTACCAGTGTCTACTAATAGATTATATGTTATATTATTAGCTGATATAGGCAAACTATAATAATTTAATTGAAGATTTGTCAAATTGACATCCAAACAAGACACTATTGCTATAATTAATATTATCATTTTATATAAATTAATTAAATATATTTTCCACTTCACATTTCTTTTACTACTTAAACTTTTTAATTGTTTAGATATAAGTTATCTTTATTTTCAATTATTTTCTTATTGTATTTCATAAATTAAAATTATTAATCACACTTTTTATATTTAATTTATCTAATGTAAACTAAAGAGAATAAGTAAAATTTTGCGCTCATTTTTTTAGTTCCTCACTTTCTACAAAATATATTAGATCTGATGGTATTCGAAAATTAGCTGACCTAACTAATTATGATAATATACGATAATAACAAAAAATTTAGATGAAGCATTCAATTAGCATTTAATATTAAAAAATTCTTGGAAGATTACCAGATGCTAAATTTTTTAATCCAAAATCTGAATCTTACGTCTCTTATCCTTGTTATAATGAAAAATATTTATCATTTCCAAAAGAAATATTAGGCAAACTAAAAAAAAGGGTACAATTTATTTTAAATTCAGACATAAGATGATGATTGTGATACTGATGAAGAAGTCAAATAGCATTCCATAAATCATAATGTAACAGAAATTATAAAATCGTTATCTTCGATAAATAAAAAATCATATAATGCATCAGATTATTTATGAATAATAATTTCTTAATTCAATTTAGAAGTATTATATCTCCCCAAAATATTTTTATATAATAGCATCAAAAAGAGTTTCATTTTCAATTAAGTTATTTTACTAAAAAATAAGTCAAAAATATATTTATTCTACTCATTAAATTTCATAAATTTATAATATAAATTTCATTTACAAAAATTTTATTAATGTAAATAACCTTCCAATATTATTAATTTATATAATCACTATAAACAAATTTGTTTTATTTTAATTTTCTTAAAACTAAAATATTTTTATTAGATGGCTACATAAAATAATTTTATCATCAATGAAAATATTTATTGAATATAACAATTATAAATAATTATAATTAACGAATATATGTATTCTTAAGAAAAATAAGAATCTAAAAGTGTTAGAGATGAAGTGTCTCCATAAATTCGAGATTTCATAATCAATTTTAGAAACTAATAAGCTTAACTTTCTAAACAAAATGCATACTAGCAATCAATTAAAAAAACTATTCCAATTAAATAAATAACGCAATTGAAGCTAAATAGATAATCAGTTGATACTTAAACGGATCTAACAGAGTATTAATCAGATACATCATTTAAAAGAAATTCAATATAAATTTCATAAAGATAAAACTCAATGTATTCTTAATCATACTTGACTACTAGAGAAGTGTAAATATAATGTGATGATAATAAAGTAAAACCTTCTGATGATTTTCCATCAGCCAGAGTTAACTTTCAATATCTTCATTAAAATTATTAATCAACTTAATCTTAATAGTCTGACTTGGGAACTTAAAATATTTCATAACCATTACCTTTAATATATAGATCCCCATAAAAGTTTGAAAGTGAAATTAATTTTGATTAAATGACTGAACAAATCCTCAATAAAGTTATATAAGAATTAGATAAAAGAAGCACAGAAACCAATCAATTTTAATAATAATAATCTGTTTCTAAGTCATTCTCTAGTTAAAAATTGAATAATTTATCAATAAATAACTAAACTATTTCCTTAAGTGTTATACCTTAACCAAAAAATGAAGATGATGATTCTTTTTTAAAATTCATGTAATCATTTACATCTACATTTCTTTTAGTTAGATGAGCCTTGTTAATAAAAATAAAATTTATTATGAAGAACAAGAAAATCAACCTCCGTAAAAAAGTCCTGTATAATATTTTTCAAATATTCCTAAAATAAGAGAACAACATTCAAAATCATCAATTAGTAAATCAATTTTTACAGAATCTACAAATAAAAATAGTATAAGTTAATAATATCAATAGAAGTAATTAAGACCAAAAATAATACCAACACAAAGTAAAATCCTCATCAAAGATTGTATTAAGATGCTTGTATGCGATAAGAGAGAAAGACTATGGCTTCCAACAGAAAACCAAGATATTGAAATCCTAATTATAAGATTACTATTAATATTAATTTTAGATTTTTCTATGTTTATACTAAAAATTACTCTCAAATATATTTTTTAAATATATTTTTTTATGGATGAATATTTATATGGTTTAGCTTTTAAGAAATTTATAATAATCATTTGGGCTTTCTTTTATTTGAGTAAAGCAGCCAAAAAAAAAAATTAGACAGCTTTTTTCAAAAAACACTAATAATCTAAATTATCATAGATTCTTGGTAAAAGCCTATATAATATTTATAAATTTCCTTTTGCCTTCTTAAATCCAAGACTCTTTTTATTTAAAGCAAAAGACTCTTAATTTCTATGAAGTAGCTTTTCTCTATATATATATAATAGTTGCTGTTCCCGTAATAAGAAATAAATAATTTAACTATTAATAACTTTTATTTATATATTCAAAAAAATTTAAAATCTAATAATGCGTCATATTTATATATTGAAAATATTATCCTATTATTTTATTTTTTGATGTGAGGAAATGCAGATAAGATGATTATAATTTAATTAGAAATGAAGTATAAAAGACTATTAATAAAATCATATAATATTCTCCATTTAAGATCTAACAGATTTAATATATAAAGGATTATCTAATTATTTTCTATTAGCTGATAATTATCTTTTTATTGGTTACTATTATTATTTTAAGTGTTAGATTTTCATTGATTTGCTATCAGTATTTTCAAAATGTTTTTAACTTAATTATTTAGGTCGAGCTGGGAAATGTTTTCCAATAGGAGGTAATTTATGATTTTAAATATTTTATTCATCTTCTTTTTAAATAATCCATTTTTTAGTTTC